CTCTCTCTCTCCTCGTCTCTCCTCTCCTCTCTCCTCCTCCTCCTCCTCCTCCTCCTCCTCCTCCTCCTCCTCCTCCTCCCTCCTCCTCCAGCTGACGGACATGAGCAGGTTGGGATCGAAGGAGCTCTACATGATCAACTTTCTGCTAGTCATGGGGGCAGACGCGGACGCCAGGGATGGTGAGACGGGGAGCTGCGCGATTGCTGTTTGACAGCTGTCAAGGCTCCGGGAGGACGGCCCTCGACCTCTGCGATCACCTTCAGGTGAAAATTCGTCCTCGTTGCTTCCACCTGACGAGCAGCAGGCAAGGTCCCTCCTGCGGAGGGCCTACTCCAGCCAAGGCCAGCTGAGGTGAGAGGGGGAAGTTTGCGGGGGTGAGAGCTGAGCCTGGAGGCAACAAGGATGGCGAGGTGGGGGCCCAAGGGAGTTCCTCCTCCCTCCGATGAAGCTCCTGTGCCGATTTTCGAGCAGCAGCTGAGGATAACGTTGGGGGTAAGTCCCATCCCAGTGGTCCCTCCTTCTCCCCCCCCTTTCCCTGCTCCTGCTCCTGCTCCCTGCTCCCTGCTCCCTGCTCCCTGCTCCTGCTCCTGCTCCTGCTCCTGCTCCCTGCTCCTGCTCCTGCTCCTGCCTGATGCTGCTCCTGCTCCTGATTGCTCTCCCTCTTCTTCTCTCCACCTCCAATTCCCCCTTCATGTCCCACACCATCACGCACACAACTACCACTAGACCCTTCCCCTTCCACTCCATCATGTTCGATTTCTGCAAACAATTCATGAACATCTTTCCTCTCTTCTGCTCTCTTGACATCTTTTTTCTCCTCTCAACCAGGTGCCGCTACTCTGTGTGTTTCATAAGGGAGAACAGGCGTACGTCAACAGAGAGCCCTGTCGTTCGTGGTAAACAAAAGCAGAGCAGAGCAGAGCAGAGCAGAGCAGAGCAGAGCAGAGCAGAGCAGAGCAGAGCAGAGCAGAGCAGAGCAGGAGCAGAGCAGAGCAAGGGAGAGAAGAGCAACAGAGAGGAGAGCAGAGCAGAGGGGACAAAAGAAAAGGGAGGCAATGTTTGGAGAAAACAGAGGGAGAAGGGACACAATGGATCGAATAGGAAAAGAGCATGGACGGGGAGAGAGGGGAGGACGAGGGGTGGACGAGGACGAGGACGAGGACGAGGACGAGGACGAGGACGAGGACGAGGGAGGACGGAGGACGAGGACGAGGACGAGG